ATGATGCTGAAGGCTGCTTGTCGAAGAAGGCAGGTGACTCTATTTGGCTGGCCAATGAAAAAGAAGGAAGACAAGAAGGACAGCAGGAGGGAAATAAGGAGCAGGTAGGACAGGTCCCGGTTGTTGGCTTTGACTACTGGAGTTTCCAGGTGCTTAACAAAGATGCTTAAAACAAAGCCGGTGGTCAAAGAGAAAAGTAAAGCAAAGGAAGTAAGGATGATCCCCAAATCTTCTGAGTAGGATAGGAAGGTTATCACCTTAGGAACACACTGATCTCGGTTCTTGTTGGGGTACTGGTCCTTGGGACATCTCAAACAATGTTTGGCATCTGCAAAGAACAAATGCAACACTTACGTACTTCAGTGGTTTGATAGTCTCTTGATGTTCTCTTCTCTTGGTAGGATTTTTGGTCATAAGGTTGTCAATAAGCACAGTTTGGAAGTAATTTTACACACGGGAATGAATTAAGTCAATATATACAATTGTGTGCAGATACTCCCTATATACATTTTTAATAATACCGGAGAACTCTATTGCATGATTAGGAAAATGGTAAATTTAGAAGACAATCGATTGGATTTTGTTCCCAGTCTCTACCATAGACCACAAGTCAATCTTAACAACCTTGCCAGAATATGGGTAGTCCTCCACCTATGACCACAACTGACCCCCAAATTTCTGTTGTTAAGTGATACATTTATTGAGTTTTGTCCCATTTTACCACCTTTCTTGCCACAGTTGTTAAGTGAATCACTGCAGCTCTTAAGTGAATCTCAGTTCCCACTGCTTGTCAGAAGGTCACAAAAGGTGATTCTCTGATTCTGGGACACTGCAACCGTCATAAATATGAGTCAGTTGCCAAGCTTCTGAATTTTGTTCACGTGACCCTGGGGATGCTGCAAGAGTTTTAAGTGTGAAAAAAATGGTCATAAGTCACACTTTTCAGTGCTGTTGTAACTTTGAATGGTCACCAGATGAACTGCTGTAAGTCAAGGACTACCTATAACAGTGCTATTCAGAGTAAGACAAATTTGAAAAATATCAGAAAACCCCTTTTGATGTTTGAAGGCCACAGATGTGTCATCTAAGTGAAACCTTTCATTGAGCAAGAAAGACTCCTTTGTTTCCCCATGGCAAGATCTGTACTTTGCATGCAACCATCTCTTTTGAGTTTCTAAAAAACCCTGCGAGGTAGCAAGAGTAGTTTCTGCAAAGGTCTAGAAAAAGTCCAAAAAGTCAAGATGGTGGTCATAATCATCTTGAGTTTATTGATTCCCCTGAGGCAGTTTTTGGGGTGAAGATTCTGGGATTTGAAGTCTGCACAACTTAAAGCTTCCAAAATTGACAAACACTGCCCTGAGGTTAGCCTTGGAAGAAAAAGTTACTGTCCTGTGTAGAATTAGCTCAAATTGCATTAATAACGGTAAAGGTTCCCCTCGCACATATGTGCTAGTCGTTCCTGAATCTAGGGAGCAGTGCTTATCTCTGTTACAAAGCTGAAGAGCCAGCACTGTCCGAAGACGTCTCCATGGTCATGTAGCCAGCATGACTAAATGCCGAAGGCACACAGAACGCTGTTACCTTCCCACCAAAGGTGATTCCTATTTTTTGACTTGCATTTTTACATGCTTTAAAACTGCTAGGTTGGCAGAAGCTTGGACAAGTAATAGGAGCTCACTCCATTATGCAGACTAGGGATTTGAACCACCGAATTGTCGACCTGTCTGATTGAGAAGCTCAGCGTCTTAGCCACTGAGCCACCACGTCTCTGTAAATTGCATTAATATGCTATTGATTTATCCACCAGTATGTATTCTACAGATCTAGGACAACTTTTGCCACAGTCAAATTGTCACGGGACAGGTCACCACAGATCAAGAGTTACACTAACTGGATGGTGGTAAATGGAAGGATTTATACTCCTTGCAGACAGCTGGATATTTGCATTCTTTTAGCAAGTCGTTAAGGTCACCTGGAAGTTTATCTGTGTCATCAGGGTCACCTGAGTGGTGCAAATGAGTGTGGAGTCTTCTTCTCCATTCAGATCCTGATCACACAGATAAACTTCCAGGTGGCCTCAATGACTTGCTAAAAGGATGCAAATGACCAGCTGTCTGCCAGGAGTATAAATCCTTCAATTCACCAGCATCCAATCAGAGCTGAAGAAGCTTCTTGGATGAGAAGTGAAATGTCTTCAAAAAAAACACCAGAAAGTCCAGTTGCCTCTTGAAAAAACAGCACTTTTCAGGCAACTACGACCTGGATGACTGAGAATCTCCATAGACAAGAGTCACACTGATATCAAAGAAATGGTGGGATAGAATAATTAAAGAAAAGATGCAAAAAGAGGGACAAAATAAAATGTGAATGACAAAAATGAAAATTTTTATTTTAACTATTTGAATTGCTGAATTGTCCCATAGTGAGTTGGTCACAGCTAGTTGGCCGCAGCTAGTTGGCTGCAGTGAGTTGGCCATGGAGAGTTAGCTGGACCAATTTGGCTGCACCAAGTTGTCCCATTCCAATATTCTACACTTCCAAACCCAGCCAACAATGGCTATGGGGATTCTCAGTCATCCAGATCATGGCTGTACCAAAGAGTGGGCTTTCTAGAGATCATTTCTTTTGGAAAAGGAAATTGTTTCAAATGTATGCCTCTAGAGTAGGGGTGTCAAATGGATATGGCCCACAGGGTGCTTAAATGTGGCCCGTAGGGTGGTCTAGAAATAACAAAGGACCAGCCTATGATGCCTCTGGCACCCAAAATGCAGTGTGGGTGGGCCTTGTACAGCCCCCTGTGCCCTGTTTTGGCTGGCAAAGTACTCCAGGAGGCCGTGCAGGCTGAGAACAGGGCATGGGTCCTCACATGTCTCCCCTATGCCCTGTTTTGGCCACCAGGGTGCTGGAGGAGGCATCTATCCTATCTCCCCGCTTCCCCCTGTGTTGCTGGCTGCCAAGGAGAATTACAATGCTGATCCAGCCCTCGAAGAAATCCAGTTTGACACTCCTGCTCTAGAGATTTTAATAAGTTATTTATTTTATTCAAAACAGTTTTTACTGGTCTTAGTTTTACATTTTTTAACTGAATAAGGCCATGGACATGTGATTGTGAAATGAAATAAAAATGCAGGATAGAAATACAACTAATTGACATGATAGAATTAATTGTGGCTATTCAAAAGTAGTAAGACACAGACAGCTTTTCTCTCTGGGGTCACCCACCTTCCTGAGTGGAGATGGTCCCTTCTGCACAAGGAATACAAGTATAGCAGCAAACCGGTTTATCTTCATCAACCTGCTTGACAAACCCAAGCAGGCAGCTATCCACACACCGAGACCTTGGCAGAGGCTAAAAGATAAACAAAAGGAACATCCAATGAAATAACTGGAGCTGCTGTTCCTGTGAAATTGGTCCTACAATAGGAAGCCTCAATGAAATTGCTGGGCCAAATTTTAACTTGCCGAATCTAATCAGAAGAACTGAAACAGCTGCAAGTGAAGATAGCAAAAAGATCGTGTTTAATGTCAATCATTATCTTATATCACAGAATGCTTGCTAAATGATGCTTTTTGATGTCTCTTTGACCTGTGATTAAATTGACTGACATATGTTTTGAAGCCAGCTAAGCTGGTAGCCAAGGAACACAGTGGCTCAGTGGCTAAGACGCTAAGCTTGTCGACCAGAAAGGTTGGCAGTTTGGTGGTTCAAATCCCTAGTGCCGCGTAACGGAGTGAGCTTCCGTTACTTGTCCCAGTTTCTGCCAACCTAGCAGTTCTAAAGCACGTTAAAAAATGCAAGTAGAAAAATAGGGACCGACTTTGGTGGGAAGGTAACAGTGTTCCATGCACCTTCAGTGTTTAGTCATGCTGGCCACATGACCATGGAGAAATCTTTGGACAGCAGTGGCGTCCTCGAAGATGAACACTGCCCCCAAGAGTCGGGAATGACTAGCACATATGTGCGAGGAGAATCTTTATCTTTTAAAGCTGGTAGCCAGCACCATATCTTCTGGGAGCAAAGCCCAATGTTTAATTGCATGCTATGCAGGGGGGAAAGTTTCCTTTTATCTATTCTGATTCTTTCAGGATTCAATGTCATTGGATGCCCTTTGGTTTTTCTGCTTTGGAGTGGGGAAAATAAATTTTCTTTGTCCATTTTATTGATACCATACACAATTTTGTAAACCTCAGTAATGTCCCCTTTTTTGCACCACATTTCTATGCAAAAAACACCTCCCCCAACCTTCAAGTGTGGCCAACTTTCCTCATAGGAAAGCTACTACAGCCCCATGATGACCTTAGCCTTTCTCCTCTGAATCTTCTAACTCTACTGTATTATTTTTGAAGTGCAGAGACACAGAACCTCACATAATATTGAATGGGATGGGGTGGGGTGGAATGGAACAGAATAGCAATAGCAATAGCACTTAGACTTATATA